CCCCCCCCCCCCCCCCCTCCCCATAGGAATGGAAAGATATCGGTTTAACCGTCCTCAAGCTATAGAAAATTCTAGACTTTGTTTGCTTCTTCGAAAAGATATTTTACAGAAACAACTGGCAGTCGTTGGGTGAAATCTGACCTATGCAAGGGCATTCGGACTAAACAATCGCAATTTAAACTGCTACTCCCACTGCTAGTGATGATGACGTCCGTTGTGTGTCTCTAATCAAAGATATTTTTGTTGCAATGCCGGTATTCAAGAAGTAAAAGGCTCAAAGACCATTTTAACATCTTTTATTTTTCTTTGTTCTCACCTGTTTCTTTAAGTTACTACAAACACTTAGCCTGTTTTTGTCTGACATGAATTTAACTTACATTTACATGCAATCCGAAACCGACCAACTTTCCAAAATGTACTGAGCACTTGAAACTTACGGATCGTTTTATTGAAATGGTTTTGAAAACTGAAACGCCAAAATTTCAGAAGTTTTACCCTAAAATAAATCAAGACAAAAACAGAAGTTTGTGGCTGTGTCGAATTAGCAATCTAAAGGTGAGAAGCGAAAAGCAAACTCTTAGCGAATTCCAATGGCGGTGGCATGAAAGCCAAACTTGTTCCATCGGTTACTGGAGGTGTAGGTTCCACAACCTCCAAAATGCAGCTCTGTCATGAAGAAGAATTCGTTCGGCATGGTGCGATCAGGATGGGAGATGGGAATTGCCTTGGAGCGCCAGTCTACCGCCACGCGGCTTGTTTCAAAGATATGCCATCTAGCACCATAGTTACTGGGAGTTTGCAGATTGTGGTTTGGCATGAATGCAAAATAGCTGTTGGGATTGGCATCGCAATTTGTAAAGTGGACTGTGTGCCCATTGGATCTGAAGCCTTGAAGACTTCGGCGGCGTGCAGCTGCAGATGCAGGAATAATACCGAGGAAGATGTACTCTTTCATGAAGGCGTTCAGTGGCTTGGTGTAACCCTGGAAGCTGTTGATTAACACACCAAACTCTGTACTCGCGAACGACGGATGAGGTTGGATCAGAGTGTATGCCTCGCTACGATCAACCTTTTTCTGCAATTTAAGTAGTACGTTCTTCTTGTCTCGAAATAAAACTTTGACGATATTTTCTGCATATGGTAATCTAGTGAAGCCACGAGGAAGAAATTGAAATAGTCCGTATTAAATTTTACATCCCACCCCCCCTCCCTCGTTTTTCTTTTCTCCTATGCCTCGCCTCTAATTTTCCACCCCCCCCCCCCCTCCAGGTAATTATTGCACAGTCCCTTGTAGAACAGAGTTCTTGCTTTTAGGGAAAGAAATTTCTTTGTTCTTTTCAGCAGGCCAAGTCGCTTCCCATTTGTTCTTCACCGTGAGCCATTTGGTTTTCCCAGGTTAAACAGTTGTCTAGCTTTATGCCAAGTAGTTTACTTTCCCTGACTACAGAATCAAGTTGGCTTTTATTGGTTCTCAGTATGGTTTATTGGTTTTCAGTATGGACTCCACGGCGAAATTTCCTGATACTCACTTTTCAATATCTCTGCTAAAAATAGTCCAAATTACATGCAAAACCTGTCGTTGGAGAGATAAGTTCTTGCATTTTGAACACATTTCGGAATAATTGACATTAGTATTTTCCAAATCAGTGAATAGCAATTTTTGCGCGTTTGGATTGGCTCCGGTAACTCGGAATATCCTTCATTGGCTATTCACTGTTTTGTGACCGGAGCCAAGATGGCGTCTGGTTTCGAAACATTTTCGGTAGACGAAATTTGTGCAATAAATTAAGCTGCAGTCGTACAAACAGATACCAAGAAAGCGACGAACATTTGCTTGTCGGTGTTGACGGTTAGGTAGAAAATTATTTACGTGCTGAATTTGCAACAAAATCGTAAAACTTGACAAAATTCCCAAAATGTTTGTAAATTGTAAACAAAGTTCCTACTAAGTGACGTTTTTAATCTACAAAAAGTTATTTTTTTCAGTTTTGTCCAGCTGATTTGGTAAATACTAAAACAACTATCCCCGTCAGGGTGGGTGAACGGCGCTAGATATAAACCTCGACGCTTCGCGTCTCGATATATATCTACTACCCCTATTCACTTTCCCTTCGGGGGATAGTTGTACAGTATTTTCGTTAAGCGGTTACTTTTTGACTGTAAATACGGTCATGCTTGTGTATCATGACAATGAGCCCGTACTTGGCTGGCTCTAACAGCGGCTTAGCCCATTAAAGAAACATATTCATATAATTAGCACGAAAATTTTGGTCAGAAGTCAAGAATTCATTAAAGGTGTTTGCCATAGCAT